CTCAGCCCCGGAGCAGGGGCTCCCCCAGGCTCTTGGGAGGGCCCTCATCTTCACCACCTGAGCTAGACCAGTCCCCACAGCAGCTTCAGTGTTCTTCTGCAGAACCTCCTCCTGGTGGCTTCCACACGCTTATTTGCACTGTGTGTGTCTCTGTGCTCCCCATGGGACAGTGAGCAGGTGCCTTGGAGAGCAGGGAAGGGAGGGCCATGTTCAGAGGTTTTACCTCAAGTCCCCAAGCTGGCTCCTGGCACACAGTAGTAGGTGGGCAATAAAGACTTGAAATGTCTGAAGAAACCTTCTGCAACATGGACATCTCGGGGTCTTGGATGCTATGGAATTTATACTGAAGTGCTCAGATTCTGCAGCAGGCTTCTCCTTTATCAGCTAACTTCAGTGAGACTCAACCGTGCGCCTGGCACTAGGGAAAAAAAGGATGACTTAGACATGATACCAGCCACAGCCCAGAGGGGACAGGTATCTTACACTTTTCCTGACAAGGCAGCACTGAAAGTGTTAGAAGCCAGATGTACACCCAGGCTTGAGGGCAGGGGAGAGGGAGTGATATATTCTGGCTGGGGATAGAGGTGCTGGGGCTTCTTAAATAGGGTAATATTCCATCTGGGTCGAGAAGAATGGACAGGCTTTTCCTGGGTGAAGAAGGGAGGTGGTGTTCCTAGCTGAGGGAACTGCCCAGAAGTATAAAAATGCACAGCATTTTCCGGGAGGTGAAAAGTCTAGCTTCTCCTGGAACCTAGGTAAGCAAGGGTCAAATTCCTCAGGGCCCAATTTTTTAAAATTCCTAGAGCCTTCCAGACCAGGCTGAGGAGTTTGGACTTTATCTTGTGGGGAACTGGGAGCCACTGAAAGGGGATTAAGTAACAGCAGGATCACTAGGGTGAGCACGTACTGAAAGCTGTGTGGCGATAGCTGGTGGGTGAGAAACTGGAACGCTGGCGCGGGGCCATGACCCACACCCACACAGCCGAGTTGGGGCCATCCCCACTTTCTCCACCCTCTTCCCTAAATTAGATGACTCGGGCAGGCTGGCCTATCCTTCAGGGAGTGTGTCCTGCGTGACGTGGCACAGTGAGACTAGACAGGCCGGTCCGCGGGAAGATTTCTTCCTCACTGCTAGTGGAGGCCCCCGGGGAGCACTTGGGGTGGGGCTTAGCTAAGCCGAAAACCCTGCTGACCACTGAGAGCTGAACTCGCTCCCCTCGCCCCTGCCACACAGAAGCTGCTTCCCCAGCCCTGGGTCCCTGTAGAGTGCTGGGCCAGCACCTACAGGCTGGTGAGTGCCACCTGGTACATTTTCAGGAATTTTGTGACTTGATTGCTAAACACAGCCTTTTTTATTTTTTTTTAAAAAGAATTCTTTTCTTTTTCGTGTTTTTTTAAAAAATTTATTTTATTTTTGGCTGCATCGTGTTTTCATTGCTGTGCGCAGGCTTTCTCTAGTTGCGGCGAGCGGGGGCCTACTCTTCGTTGGGGTGTGCGGGCATCTCACTACAGTGGCTTCTCGTTGCGGAGCATGAGCTCCAGGCGCATGGGCTTCAGTAGTTGCAGCACGAGAGCTCAGTAGTTGTGGCTCGTGGGCTCTAGAGCACAGGCTCAGTAGTTATGGCGCACGGTCTTAGTTGCTCCGCGGCATGTGGGATCTTCCCAGACCAGGGCCTGAACCTGCATCCCCTGCATTGGCAGGCGGATTCTTAACCACTGTGCCACCAGGGAAGTCCCGTAAACACAGCCATTATTAAAAATTAAGTTATATGAACTAACAAATTATTTAAAACAGAGGTAGTCAATACTCAAAGCCCACCACTTCCTAATTATTTTCTACGCTATTAGCTCTGTTCTTGAGGTTATCTGTATCATTGCATATGTGTGGTGGACGTTCTGTTTAACGGTGAGCTACTGCACTTCTCTCCCAACTCCATGTTCAGTGACACCATGTTGGTAGCTTGGAATCGGCTGTGGTGGGAATATTTACACCATAGAAATTGGTAAACCTACATATCAGAGCTCTTGCCGCAGAGAGCCAGTTGTTAGCCATCTGCCAGCCCACCACCACTAACGTCCACCCCCCTGCTTTGCTGGCTCCCTGGGCAAGCACACCCACCCAGGCCTGTTCTGTCCTCTGCTAGCAGCCACAGCAGCACAATGGGTCTTGTCAGGTTAGAGTCTTGTCAGATGGGGTTCAGGAAAGTGTGGGGATGTTACCAGGAGGCCTGAGGTGTTACTTAGTCCTGTTACAGGGATGCCTCCTTGTGCTACCCACAGCCCTACCCAGGGCCTCACAGCATGAACAGGCTCCCAGGGAGTCTGCCAGTGTGACTGGACAGAGGTGCTGGCCTGATCCCTGGGGGAGGGAATCAAAGAGGGGCCTTGCTTATGTCAAACCAACAAACACCAAGCCACCTCCTCTTCCAGGTAACAGGCTGGGCATCTCTCCAAGGTGGCCAGTGTCTGAAATGCGGCCACATAGCCAGGTACTGTCTAGGGAAAAGTCATTTATGAGAACAAGAACATGCCAGGTGGATGGCTAGAGGCAGCAACATGCCTTCTTTACTATTCGACAGCATTAAAAGGCAGCCCTCTCTGTGGGTCTCTGAGACTTATTTTGCCACAAATTTTAATTATCAGGAATATCATCATGACCTTGGAGTTGGTAAGGGAGGGATCTCTTAAAAGGACATTAAAAAAAAACTAAAGGAGAAGACTAAGGTGAAAGATTGGTAAATTGGGACTTTATTAAAATTAAGAACGTCTGTTCATCAAAAGACACCACTGATAAAATAAAAAGGCAACTCACAGCTGAGAAAAGAAATCTGTAATACATAAAACTGACAAAGGACCCATATTCAGAATATATAAAGAACTATACAGACAAGCCATTTAAAAGCTGGCAAAAGACTTGAACAGGCACTCCATGAAAGAGGGTATGCAAATGACCCAATCCGCCTATGGAAAGGTATGCAGCCTTATTAGCATTAGGGAAATTAAGATTAATAGCCACAGCGAACTATCACTACACACCCACAAGACCGGGTGGAACTTTGAAAACAATGACAAGCGTTGGTGAGGATGCACAGCGACTGAAACTCTCGGGAGTGTAACCTGGTACTACCTTTCTGGAAACAGTTCGGCAATGTCTACTAAAGGTGCACACATACCTACCTGATGGCCCGGAGTTCCCAGCAATGAGTGGATTCATGCACCTAAGGACACGTACTAGGATGTTCAGTAACGCTTTATTCATCACAGTCCCAAACTGGAGACAACACAAACGTCCCTCAGCCATGAACTCGAGTATGTTCACACCTCAGAACCCTAGGGGGCAGGGATAAAGGACATCATACACGGCACACCAGAATGTGAGTAAATCCCACCGAGGAAGCCAGGCAGCAAAGAGCACATACTGCATGAGTTCAGTTTTGTAGAGGTCAGAGCAGCTGAAACTGACCTCTGGGATAGAAACCAGGATAGTGGGTTCCTCTGGGGAGGAGGTGAGGGGTAAACAAAAACACTCCCTAGAATTCGAAGTCTCAAAATCAAAATCGTCTCCCCTGCTGCATTGAGAACTTTTTCTCCTTTGCTTGTTGGAGGTAGGAAGGTCGAGGACAGGTGGTATGTCTGAGGAGCCCCTGTCTTCCTCAGCACACCCCGCTTTCTCCTGTGCCACTAGCCAGGCAGGAACTCCTGGGACAGTCCAACCAGGGGTCGAGCCACAGTGGTGATTTCATTTTGGCATCAACTAAGATTCCCACTGGCACCTCTGCTTTTCATCTCCTTTTAATTTTACTTATTTATCAAGTATTTTCTTAGCTCTTACTCTGTACCAGGTGCACTGTTCAAAGTATGTCATTAGTGTGTTATTCATTCAGCCTGTAGTAATGACTTCTTTGTTGAGCACTTAGTATGTGCCCGATAGTAAGCTAAATTCTCAATTAATTCTCACATGAACTCATGGAAGGGGAAAATATTTGTTCCCATTATAGATAAGGAAACAGAGGCTCAGAGAGGTTAAATGACTTGTACAAGGTCACACAGCCAAGTTGGTGGCAGAACTGAGATTCAAAGCCAGATCCTGCTTCACTCCCAAATCACCTGACTTAGTCGTTTCTAGCGACCTCCTTAAACCAAATCACCTGAGAGGCTGGTAGAACTATGAGGTTTCTTAGCCCCCACCTGCTCGAGCCTAGTGAACCAGAATCTCTGGCCCTAGGAGTAGAATCTCCCACAGTGGTTGTTCGAAACCTGATTCCTGGCCCCATCCTGCACTACAGAGCCAGACTCCCGGCCCTGCACACAGTAGGCACACACAACCTGTCTGTGAATGGAAGGAGATGGCTGCCTGGATCACTTCTCTTCCGCTGGAGAGGTGGGGGGAGTCCCTTGCTTCCTTCTGGTCTCTGGGTAAGTGTAAGTCCCCTCCTCTGGGAAGCCCTCCTTGACCACCCCAGCCTACCCCCCCGCCCCTAGAACTGCTAACCCCTTTGCCTTAGTTGCCTTCCTTGCCTCTCTCTGTCTTAAATATGGACTAGGGTAAACCATATGGAATTATCCTTTCTGTAGGTCAAAACTAGTTGAAAATGGGCTATTTCATCCAGTTCATTTAAGCAGTTCCCTTTACCAGAATGTTAGCTCCGGGAGGGCGGGGGATGTTTGTGGTGTTCACAGCCCTGTCCCCAGACAAAGCCTGGCACACAGTAGGCACTCTGTAAATGCTGGGTAGGTGCTCGAGGGAACCTGACCACTCCCAGGAGCTCCACAGCCGACGCACCAGACCCCACGTCGAGCTGGAGGGGCCCGGGCGCCATCCTGTACGGCGCAATCTCGGGTGCCTTCCCGGCCGCGGCGGCCCGGCGGCGGGGTGGGGCTCGCCGTCATCCATTTACCAGCCTCGCCCCTCCGACGCGAGCGCCGTTAATGAGATTAGCAATTAAAAAGCGGGCGAGCCGCCGCTGCAGAGGCGCGGGGCCATCCCCAGGCCGAGCCGGGCGGGACGGCGCTCCTGGCGGCCGCGCACCGAGCGCGCCGCGCGCCGAGCGCCGAGCTCCGGGGCCATGGACGAAGCGCGGCCGCTGTGGGCCACCCCGCTGCAGTTCGTGTTCGCCTGCATCTCGTACGCCGTGGGGCTGGGCAACGTGTGGCGCTTCCCCTACCTGTGCCAGATGTACGGCGGAGGTGAGTGCCGACGCCCGGGCTGCGCAGTCCCCTCAAGACCCCGCGGGGTCGCCTTCTGTGCCTAGTGGCCTGGGGGTGCGCGCTGGGGTTAGCCCCATATTGCGTGCCAGTAAACTGAGGTTCAGAGAACGAAGTGATTTGCCCAGAGTCACAGAGGCGGGAATCGGACCTAGGACATCTCAGTCCACAGCTGAAGCTCTTATCCAGAGCGCCTTCTCGAGCCCTCTGCAGCCCCGATCCCATCCCAGGGGCGGCCAAGCCCCCCAGCACGCCCTTGTCACCCTTGTTGGTCAGGCTGCGGCTCTGTGAGCAGTAGGAGGCACGGGGTGGGGGGTACACTATTTTCCTCCCTCGGGAGAAGAGATGGCAGGGGTCTGACAGCAGGAAATTGTCTTGTTCAACAGAAACTCATTATACAACTTTCAGATCAGAAACATTCCTGGCAGCATGATTTGAAACTCAGGATAAAAGGATTTTGAGCTATTTCTTTAAATTTTTTATCACAAGATTGATTTGGGTTTGGGACCACAGTAGGCAGGAAGGCTAATCACTCTATTGCAGTGTTGTTCGTTTGTTTTGGTTTTTTACAAATTTTTCCTCTGAAGCGTCACAGTGCGCTCACTAGACAGCAACGCACCCACACAGCATTCGCATACCTTCCAGGGAGCTGGAGACGCCTTCTGTGACATGCCAGAGAACCTCAGTGAGGGTCAAGTGCTTTTTTGGAAGGCAATGTGGCAATAGAGATTGAAGTCTCAGCATTAAAAAAATTTTTTTCTGAGTTATTCTATTTCTAGCACTCTACATAAAGAAAATAGTTCTGACAGAAGGTAGACAGTAGAAGGATAGCCTCCATCTTTTAATAAGAGCCAGGTGTGGTAAACCTCCTAAGCCCTCACCTAAAGGGGATTGGTTCCATCAATTATGGAACATGCACGCGGTGGTGCTCTTGGAAGCCATTAAGAAGGTTTTTCAAAAAATGTATTTGAGCATTTTTTCATGTTATACATTAAATGGAGGGAGGGAAGTCAGATTCAAAGCTGTATAAAATGGATGATCTCAATTATGTTTTAAAGTATGCAGAGAAAAGAGAATGAACAAAAACATACCAAAGAGAATAAAACAATAGTTATCTTTGGCTGTGTGTGTGTGTGTGTGTGTGTGTGTGTGTGTGTGTGTGTGTGTGTGT